ATATGACATGATTTTTTTGGACCTCAGGGAGTTAAAAACTTTCCCAGCTAAACCATTGGAGATGTTACCTTTGTATTTTCTTTTTTACATTTCTTTACATATGGAAGGGTCTTGAAAAAATAAACTTTGATATTTTTTTTTTATTCCTTCCCAACCATGGTAGAAACTCTTGGTTCGTCTTCTAATCTAGAAAATGTTTTATGATGCTTTTTGATTACTCCACACTGAAGCTAATTTCCTGCTTACTTTATCTTCCATGAGGTCTCCCTGTGAGTTCCCATAGTGACATGCTGGGAAGTGCCTGATGGTATGAACAGTCCCACTTTGCTAATGGCACTGAGCAGGAAGCTCAAGAAATGAGCAGAGTGCAACCCACCCCTAGCATGTCCCCCGTTACCACAGAAAAAGTGAAGGAGTACAGCCTCCATGAAAACTCCTCCTGGAGTTTTAAAGCTTTTGTAATGAATTTCCTTTTCAAGGTCACCATTTTGGTCATCATTTTCACTGCCATGACAAAAAGACCTCACAAGAACAATTAGAGGAGGAAAATTTTATTTGGGAGCTAACAGTTTCAGAGATATCAGTCCATAGAGAGCTGACTCCATTCCTCAGGTCCTGAGATTGGGCAGAACATCATGGTAGAAATGTGTGGTGGAGCTGGATAACAGGAAGCAGAGACACAAACTCCACTCACTAGATACAAATATATAACCCAAAGGCATGCCCCCTGATCTACCTCTTCCAGCCATACCTGCCTTCAATTACCACTCGGCTAATTCCTGAAAGGGAATTAATTCAATGATTGGGTTAAGGCAGTCATRACCYAATCATTTCACTTCTAAACTTTCTTGCACTGTCTCACATATGAGATTTTGRGAGACACCTCATATCGAAACCATTATAGCCACTTATTTAAAATGTGAATAAGAATAATGTCAGTATTCTTCACACATCCTGCCTAAGAAGAGGCCCTTTTGTATCCTGTCTTTCCTTGCTAGTTTTCTGGCCCACAGTATTATAGTACAGGGTAGTAGCTTATGACAGCTCTTATTCCTCTATTTTTTAACATTATGAGCAGATAGCTTGTGTGAGCAGAAAACACATTCTGCTGAGTACCACAACTCAYTGGTAAGAATGGAGTCTTTTGAACTGCCTCTGGTGGACACATTCCTAARAGAAGATTTTTCTGTTCTCATCCTGGTTCTAAGTTGAACTTGAAAGCTTTCTAAGTGTTGCAGGTGGAGAGAACTTGCCCTTAGACAGGAAGTGCCTAATAGCATTATTTCACATAATTATAAGAATTCTCACTTAAATGTCCATCTCTGCAGAAAATCTTTTCTGTAAAGTGGCACATGGTAAATGAGGGTAGCTGTATCAGTAATAATTTAATTTATGGAAACAGTGGTTTGTTTTTATCCCATGGAGCATGATTTACCATCCCCAGGACCTATTAAATTCATTCTCCTTTTCTTGGACTCATCCTCACCACCTTCACAAGGCTGACATTTCACTTGTGYACTGGTAAAAGAGTCAGGTTTCTAGAGAAGAATGTCTGTCCAGATGTGTGCCTCTTAAATGAAATTGGCAGATGATGCTAGTGTGGCTACCATGTTCTGTCCTGAGAGCACACCATCCCTTTATTCCCATTATTTCCTTTGCTCCCCATCTCAGGAGCCTGAAATCCTATGGTATGTATATGYGAAAAATAGGTATGAATCATAAATGAAATAACTGAATAAATTTTTGAAACAATATTTTGCAAGTCTTTTTCTGGATTAGTTGACTAGGTAAGAAAGGTGACACAGTATAAGGCAATATAGGTCATACTTTGTTAAGTCTAGTTTTGTATTGAGAAGTCATTGTTAAAGGAATATGTCCTATGTCTGAACTGGGAATAATTAGTTTAGTTGTTTAAGTTGAGGGCCTCTTATAAATGGTAGCTAAAATTGGAGGGAAAGGGTTGAATATTCAATAATCCAGATTTTGATAAGGGAGTTGATAAGCTTTATATTCAAGAAACTAGAAGATTTGAATTTTATGTATTTGAATTAATGAGTTTCATGTCTTTTTAAAAAWTTTTTTTTAGTTGAGTTGGACACTATACCTTTATTTTATTTATTTACTTTTATGTAGTACTGAGGCTTGAACCCAGCACCTCACATATGCTAAGTGAGCGCTCTACTGCTGAGAGCCCCAACCCCAGCCCCTCTTTTTTTTTGGTTAGAATTCATTTAAGATCAGTACCTTGGTGTTTTTTGTTGTTGTTGTTGTTGTTGTTGTTGTTTGTTTGTTTGTTTTTGTTTTTAACAATAGGGATTGAAACCCAGGGTGCTTAACCACTGGGCCACATCCTCAGCCCGTTTTTAAACTTTTTATTTTGAGACAGAGTCTAAGTTGCTTATAACTTTGCTAATTTGCTGAGACTGGCTTCAAAGCTGCAAGTGATCCTCTTGCCTCAGCCTCCTGAGCAGCTGGGATTATAGGTATTCGCATCATGCCTGGCTATCTTGAATCTTTAATTCAGTTTTGGTACTTTTTCTATCTCATTACAGCACATTTAATTTTATGCAAGTGTAGGGAAACAAGTACAAATAACCCTCTAAATCTGTGGGTTACAATTTGTAGATCCAACCAACTACCAATCAACAATATTCTGAAAATTGCCCCTGTACTGAACATGTACAGACTTTTTGTCATTGTTCCCTATACAATACTGTATAAGTATACAATACTGTATTTACATAGCCTTTATGTTATATTAAGTATTCTAAGCTAGAGATTATATAAAGGATGTGTATAAGTTATTTGCAAATACTAACCATTTTATATAAGGACTTGAACATCTATAGATTTGGGTGTCTGCAGGGTACTAGAATCAATCCTCCATAGACACCACGGGACAACTATGTTGGATTTGGAGTCAGAACACTAAGTTTCAAGTTTAGTTCTTACTGTTTTTAAGATCTTAGGAAAGTGATTTAACCTCTTTGGGCCCAGGTCCCTTATCTGTGTATTAGAGAAAACATCTGCCTTCCTTACCTTACAAGCTGTTGAATTAAGAAAAATTCTGAGAAACTCCCTTTGCTAGATTTTTATTGCTTTCTATGCATGTGTAGGCAAGCAGTGGCAGTTCTGTGATTTTTTTTCCCCCTCTATCTTCATATAAGTTTACTTAAAACAGTGCTTATCTTCCTCCCTGCTTGGCTACTCAACCATATTGAATTACTGGTTTTTGTTCTGTTTAGAACAGCTTCTGTCCAACTGGTGGTGGTTGTGTGGTGAACCAGGGTACTAAAGTGATTTTATTCATTTATTCAGCACTTGCTTAAAAGGCACTTACTATGTGATAGATATTGTTCTGTGTACTAAAGTTTCAGCATTGAATAAAAATTAGTCCTTTTTTTAAAAAATATATTGTCATGGGGCATATAACACTGAGTTTGAGGTAGGTATTAGTTTAAGTATATATGTATATACAATTATAACTCTGATGAATATTACAAGTTTATGATGCTRTGATAGGAAGCATTTAATCTAGGCAGGCATATTTTTAAGGCATTTCTGAGATAGTGATTAAGCTAAAAKAAAGAATCTTCCAAAAATGGAATCATGTTTAAAGACCCCGCAGATGGAAGTCCTGTGGTACTTATGAGGGCTTCATAGATAGCTGCTGTGGTTAGAGCAGTGAGGGTGAGGAAGACAGCTGAGGCTGGCCAGGCACACAAGGCCTTCAACCACTTGAAGGAGGCTTGTGTTCAGAATGGAAATTTACGTAAGTGGTTTGAGCCAGAAATTTGACATGAGCATGTTGGAATTAAATTTTCAAGTAAGTGTCAGGAAGCTGTGCTTAAAACTAGCCTTGTGAATTTTTAAGAACTTTGAATAAAATTATTTTCTAACTCAAATTTATTGTAACATTTTTGTTAGAAGGTCGTTTTGAGATTTTTTTCATTATTCATGAATTGGTAGGTAGGGATTGTCAGTAACAGGTCCTTGTCTATCACTATTAAGGGTTTTTATAATGATAGAAATAGGCAAAGTAGATCAGCACCCTAACTTTTCTATTGTTGACCATGAAGACTGATGGYTTAGAAATGTTGTTTGATCTAATTAAATTTTATATCTTAAAATTAAGATTTAATGATAATTAAGCTTTAAATAAATTATAGAAAATTATTCTTTTTAAGAGCAAATTTTAACTTTTGGTTTCTTCTATTTATCTCTTTAATCTTTCCTTTTAATTTAAGCTGTATTTTAAAATTTTATCACCTACTAAGTTATAATTTGATTAAGGAAAATAAATTATAAATTTGACTTTATAGATTTTTAAACAAATAAAGCTGAATGCTATTCCTCATTCTTTATAAAAGGGATCAAAAGCCAGGCCCAGTGGCACATGACTCTATTCCCTGCATTTTGGGAAGCTGAGGCAGGAGGATCACAAGTTTGGAGCCATCCTGGGCAACTTAGTGAGAACTTGTCTCAAAATTAAAAATATAAAGGGCTAGAGATGTAGTTCAGTGGTACAGCACTCTTGGGTTCTAATCCCCAATACTGGAAAAGAAAAAAAACCTAAAAGGGATAAAAAATATGACTTAAKAAATCAAGTCACATGTTAATAAAACACAAACATTTTATCAAGTAATACTCCAAAGGAGAGGGTTTAGCTTATTTCTTCTCCTTTGAAATAATGAGAGGTAATATAGCAGAAGTAAGGAGTGCAGATGTAGGATAGCCTTTCTAGTTCAATCAGTTCAGACCCCAAAACTCTTTTTGCCTCAGTTTCTGTACCTTACAAATGGAGAGTGATGCCTTGTTACTGTTTCTGTTGTGAAGATACAAAAGCACAGTGTTTAGCACCTAGTAAGCAATTTGTAAATGTTCTTCTTCCTGTCATCATTAAATCAAGAAATTTTCCTTCTAGGTGATCCAATGATTGTTGACATTTTATGGTTTCAATCGTAACTCAGTCCAATTATTTTTTTGTTGTTATTTTTAAGGAGAAATTGTTGTAAATGAAGTAAATTTTGTGAGAAAATGCATTGCAACAGACACAAGTCAGTATGATTTGTGGGGAAAGCTGGTGTGCAGTAACTTCAAAATCTCCTTTATTACGGATGACCCAATGCCATTACAGGTGTGTTTTATTTGTATACTATTTCACTGTGTTAAGGATTCACCTCTAAGCAGAACATATTTGTTATATAAATCACAGGTATAAAAAAATATAGTAAATTTATTGATAAATGATTATCACAATGTTGGGAATATATTCTATTAAAATTCAAAAAAAGGTAAGCAGACTTTTGGGATTTGCTTGAGGAATAGAATTAGATGATTTTAAGTTAACCTTGTTTTGTTTATCCTCTGTGATCATTGGTTATATATACTTTTCAATAAGGGAGTTATTTCCTCCCTTCTAAATCTTTTAAATTATTTATGACAGTAAAGATATTCTTTTAAACTAGTCATGAARAGAAAAACTCATTTATTTAGTAAATAATCTTGTAAATGCTGAGCATTTTACTGATTTCATATTTTTTAAACAAATAATCCTTTCCCAAAAATGTCAAATTCTAGTTTCTAGTATACAGTAAGAGTGCAAAAAAAAGTTGATAAAATGATTCTTTAATAACCCTTTTGCCATTTTATATTCTTACTGCAAAGTAATAATTCTACATAATTTTAATTTTTTTAAAGTCAAGCATTTATTTGATTAAATTAAAAGTCCTAGACTTTTCTCTTAGCTCAGTTGTATTTTGCTTTGCAAAAAAGTGTTGCACATTTTTGCCTCTAAGATCTTATAGCAATGATTGTTCTATAATGAAACCCTTTCTTATTAACTATGAACTTGTTTTGAATGGTCTGTGAGTAAATTTCATATAGCCATTCATTAATTTATCATAATATTTCCTGTATATTTGTGTGTTTGTTAATATATGTCTGTATTTAGACTATGTTTGAGGTCTTTAGAAATATCTAGTAGATATGGATACTAGCTTATTTTGATGTGCACTTGGGTTTTCCCCTTTGTTTTTAGCTTCATTAAATGATCTCTGGCCCTAGACTTCACTGTCAGTGAGAAGCATATACCTTGAATAGCTCAAATCTAGTAACAATAATAGGAAAAATAAACCAATGCTATACCAACAGTAGGTTAATTGTGTCAGCTATGTCTTTAGTTTGAAATGGAAACAAATTGTTAGCAGGTAAAAACAGTGAGCTCTAGTTTGCCAAAAGCCTTTTTTTAAAGATTTTTATTTCTAGTATACTTTCTATTCTAAAAAATTGTTACTTTTCCTCTAAAATATTCACTGTGAAAATCAAGTATTTTACCCATTAAAATCTAGTGACATAGCAGTCCTTCATCTTCCTTACTTTGTGAATAGTTTATCTAGCACCAGACATGCAGATGTTTGCCTGTGAAGTAATTGATCATATTACATTTCTTGGATATTAACGTGGTATTATGGTGTACTTTTCAACTTCATTTCCATTGTTAAAGTGTGGGAGAAAGATGGAGAGAACATGAATACAACATATATTTCTTTCTCTGTGCTACCAAAGTGTGTCCTAAAATACTGTATACTTAGAATGGTCCTGGCTATGTTTGCAGAAGTTTTTTGTGTGTTTTAGAGGTAGTAGTCACACTTTCCCATCACRTTTAAAAGTAATGTTTATATTACTGCTGTGAGATTAAGGAAAGAATTAATGTAAAGATGATTTTTTATTTCAGAAATTCTATTACAGAAACCTTCTTCTTGGAGAACATGATGTYCCTTTAACATGTATTGAACAAATTGTCACAGGTATGTAGTATTCTGCATGTATTCCCTCTCAAAATTGAAGCTGAGTGTGATGGTGCAGAGCTTATGGGATGTCTAGGAGTTGCAGGGGACAGCCTAAGAGTATAGCAAGACCCTACATTTAAAAAAAAATGTAATTGGTCTCTAAAAGTTGATTCCATTCTGGTGTATTCCTTGAAATACTTGAGTTGAAATTTTATTTCTGTAGGTTTAGGTTTAGTTTTACCTTCTTTTTTTTTTTTTTCTCTTTCTCTCTCTCTTTGAGTTCCTGGAAGTAGAAAAAAGAGAAGGAAGTCAAGAAATTATTTTAATATGGGGATATAGAACTATTTTAAAATGGAGATATAGCTTTTTWTAGTTTCTAAATTTTATCCTCTTTTTAATAAAAATTTTAACCACTAAATGTATCTAGATGATGGTGGTTTTGTGCAAAGAATCTTTTATCTTCAAAAAGCAGAGTTAAAACTGTCCTCTCCCCCCACAAAAATTCTAGATTATAGACAAATATGAAGATTTTGGAGAACTAGTTCTCAGGTGATGGGGGACCTTGAAATGATTTTCCCTAAGAATTTTACTGAAGTGTATGAAAGTGTAAGTAATAACATTACATTTTCTTTTTTCCTCTTTTTTAGTAAATGACCATAAGAGGAAGCAGAAAGTCCTAGGCCCCAACCAGAAATTGAAATTTAATCCAACGGAGTTAATTATTTATTGTAAAGATTTCAGAATTGTCAGATTTCGCTTTGATGAATCAGGTCCTGAAAGTGCCAAAAAGGTAATACTGTTAAGTTTTATGAACTTTGGATTCTGTGCTACATTTACCAATTTCAGTTCTGTGTAGAAGTTTTCATTTTCAATTGTTCAGATTGTTTTTAGGGGAAGTTATTGAATACCTCTTTAAGTAAAGTCAAAGCCAAGAATATTAATAGAACTACTTCCGTGTATTAGTTTATGTCTACTCTAAAGTACTCTATATACTTTTTTATCAGTTCCTAAAATATTAAAGATTGTCATGGAAATTAGCATGTCTTTTCCATTATAACCATTGCTAGCTAGTTTCTTTCTTTCTTCTTCTTCTTCTTCTTTTTTTTTTTTTTTTTTGTTAATAAGGTTGAAAAGTTGGAGAATATACTGTAATTGAGGTTTGGTAAGACTTTTAATATAGCACCACAGAACCTTACCAACAAACTGGAAGCTAGATTTAGGTTACATAAGGAATAGTAATGTTTAGTTATAGAAGAGGGCTAATAATTATTAGTGGTTTAAAGAAAATATTAATGGATTAATTTGAGTAATACTTGACAAGGACAACTCAAAATTATGAATTTTTTAATTGGCTTTTTTCTTCCCTGCCTTCCAAGGAATGTTTATTACCTACTTGTGGAGTAAAATTCAAGAGCAAAAGTCTTCACTTCTTGATTCCATGTTTTTGTTTTCCAAAGGAATGAGGATGACAGAACTAATGCCTCTCTGTTCCAGTCTGATGTAGCAAATGCAGAAAATAGTAACAGAATTTCCAGAGGAAAGTGTGCTCCCATGAACCAGACTAGAACAACAATGTCTTAATGGACTAGGACTCTGCCTTCTCTTAGAGTAGAAGCAGTCTTTGGGCCAGCAAGAGCACATTAGTTTTTCATGGTCAGTAGACTCACTGCTTAAGTTTCTGTTGATATCAAATGAGGCTGTCAAAAAGATCTTGAGGCAGGTATCTTCATATACAATGGTTATGAGGTGGTTGATCTGTTTTTAGAATTAGAACCAACAGTTTCTTCACAGGAAGGCAAACATGAGGTGAATATGTGAAAATGCATGATCACTGGGGCTGTCCAGCAGAGTGATAGCAAGCCTGTGGCTAAAAGTTTTCAAACCAAATCTCTATAGCTGTTTCTCAGAATGCTGTATTTTTGAAAATTTTGCTTGATAACTTTTAAGGTCACATTCAGCCATTTGATTCTGTTATATGTGATTGTGGCATTTCCAATTTGAGATGCCTATTCTTATATAGAAAAGCTTTAGAATTGATTAGATAGTACACTATACATAAAAGGTTTAGYCAAGTTACTTTCTCAGACTTAAATTTATATTTATATTTCATTGACTAAAGCAGCAGGAACCCTTTTATGAAAATGTTAACTTTAAGATATATACTATCTCGCCAGGCATAGTGGCCCACAGCTGTAATCCCAGTGACTCAAGAGGCTGAGGCAGGAGGATCACAAGATCAAAGCCAGCCTCAGCAATTTAGTGAGGCCCTAGGTAACTTAGTGAGATCTTGTCTCAAAATCAAAAGGGCTAGGGATGTGACTCCATGGTTAAACACCCCTGAGTTCAAATCCTAGTACCAACACCCCCCATACCCACAAAGAAAAAAAAATATAGAGAATCTTAAGAATAGGGACCACACAGAACTTGTGAGATCAAGTTAGGATAAAATTTTTAAAATGAAMAATTGATGTATTTGGGCCAATACTCCTACCAGTTAAAACTCTCCCACTCCTATCATATATTTTAGAGGACAGTATTTTAGTAAATGGAAATCATAATTATTTGATTTAGGTCTTGAGACTTAGGTCTTTTTGACACRTGAAGCAGTGTCCTAAACTTTGCAAGTTAGAAAGAAAGGTGTAAGATGCAGTTTCTTTCCCTGAAGGGTTTCAGTCTAATTGAGAAAGAAAAGCAGAAACAAATGAATATTAAATAACAGTGCAAAGTGGTAGCACAAAAGATGTCCTCCCACAAATGATTAGTTGCCAAGTGAACAAAACATAGTTAAGTGCTCTCTCTGTAAATTCAGGATCTCCCTTGATTGTTGTACAGCTGGTGAATGATGAAGTCTTCATTTACACCCACATAGGACAAGCTAGTTCCCTTTCCCAAGAACAAGTTTCTGACAAAAATCCTTTTCCTGTTGTCTTTTTTTTTTTAAGAGAGTGTGTGTGTGTGTGTGTGTGTGTGTGTGTGTGTGTGTG